ATATATTTCAGTAAATATATATTTACTGAACATATATTTCAGTAAATAATTATACTTTTGTTTTGTTTTGTTAAAATGCTTTAGAGTTATCCCTAGAAGAATTGTGACTTCATTTCTAAACTGATTTCTAATATTTTCTAACTAGCACTATGTATTTCTTTCTGGTACTTTTGAGTTATTTTACATGTCGACTTTCTAATTCATGGCATTTCCATCAATTATCAGTATGATTTCACTGTCTTGGCAATTATTGATATAGTTATAAGTTAGAATAAAGGTGGTAGGTAAAATTCATAAAAGTGTTTGCAACAAAAATTGTGCCCTTTTCAACATGCATTGGAATGTTGACACAAGTATACAAGAAGTGGAGCTTGCCTCCTCATATGATACCTATATCATTTCTATGAAATCCAGACTTGTCACTGACAACCTTGGTTAATGGACTGGACTAGGACAAGGAAGATCCACACTCAGACACAGAAGTTCTAGTCATTATCTCTCAGACCAACTAACTTCACAGGATTGAAGGAAGAACTACTATATAACTAGCCTTAAGCTGTAAGAGCAAGTTTCTCAACTTCTTTAGCTTGGATGAACTCTGAAATAATTATCAAGTCTCAGAAGTTTCTGAAATAGAGAAAGGAGATTTATAAATTGTATAGCCTCTGGAGCGAATTCTGGGAATATTAATCTATTTAAACACTGATTTTTATTCGTGATGGATTACTTGGGAAATATTAAAAAATTTAATGCTCACTTATATTTTAGTCACTATTTGGCCATTGCTATTTTTAATTACACCAATACATTTTTATTTATATATTTTTTTTATTTGGCAGTATTTTTATCATGTTTGTAATATCTTTGTTTGGCAAAAATGGTTTGAGAGAAGATTTTATCTGCCACCAAATCATCTGTCTCCTTTTATTTACTATTTGTTTATACATGCTAGTCCAGTTCTTGCATATTTTGCTAGTAGATTATTAATGTATTTTTTACCAATAACTTTATTGGAAATTACAAAATGCAAGTAAAACTAATATAAACTATAAAAAATAAAAAAAACAAGAAAAAAGAGAAGAAAAAGGAACTTCCCTTTCTTACCCAGCAAGCATAAACTTATCACCGCCTCTTAAATAACAAACCATTCTTGATCCCTAATATTATTCCATTCTCAAACAAATCTTTAAAATGTCCTCCATTCTAATTAGCAAAAATTCATTAGGGGTTTAGCAGAAATAACAGTATAGCTATTATAAATTTATAATACCACTTAAAATCCTTTCAATTATTTTCAAAAACAATCAGTAAAAATCCAGTACGTTACAAAGGGAGCAAAATAATTATATTAGTCTTAATCAGATCTCTTAAGCAAATTCTTCAAACCTCATCATTCAAATACAATCTATAACAATCCAATAAAATTTACTAAAAATATCAGCATTAATTTTAGACAAATAAATTTAACATGTAACAAGTAACCTATTTTTTACATAACTGTTATTTATAAAATAATAACTTAAAACATATTCTTCCAGAGCTAGCAAAAAACCAAAAACCATTACAAATTACCAGAAATAACAATCTATCTATTTTAGGTTTGGTCAAATAAGTCTACTTTATATTCTTTCTTCTTACACCCAACCTTTCCCCAGATCCCTTCAGATAATACTTCAACATATGGTTTCTTATTGTTTTCTCTTTAAATTTTGTCAGAAAATCACTGCCAGCATTAAATAATCCCTCTTGTAATTCCAATATAAAAGCAGTCATT